GGCAGGGAGCCTTTTTAGGCCATAGGGGACTGCGACTGGGGAGAAAATGGGATAATATCGTGATATACGATGCCAAGATATGAATCATATGCAACAATAACTAGGAGAGGCTGCAAAATGGGTGCGATATACAAGTGTTTAAAGACACGTGGGGTGGCTTGTGGTTAATGAGGTTTGGGCAGTGCAAGACGCCTGGATAGGAGGAGCCGAACCAGGTATCGAGGAAGCGGGAATTGTGCCGTGATGCCGGAGGATGGGCAGGTTCGTTATCACCAGCGCGTGGTCACATCCCGTTTCTTTCCTTTCCCAGTCTGTCCTGTCCAGGCCCAAAGCATTCCATCGCCTTCAGGAAAGGAACTGCGACGGGAACGGCTCCGTGTCGGCGACGCAGCCCGGAGCAGCGCGGCCGCGCACCAAGCAAACCACCATCTCCGCCTTCTTCGGCTCGCAGACGGGTAACGCGGACCGCTCGTGCCCACGCAGGGAAGCGAGCTCAGGCTGTAACGGAAAAGCCTTCTGCCTTTGTAGGGATTTTACTAGGTGTTTCCTTGTGAGGAGGGTTAGATGTCCTGGAAAGAAACATACTGTGAGATCAAGGGAAAAGCAGTGTTTATGCAGCATTAGACTGAAGTGCCAGTAACAGCGAGTAGTTACAGCCAGTCTTCATTCAAGAGTGAGATGAACCCATTTAATAAGATACCAGATCTATTCTCTACCAAACTGGCCTTTCCAGCAAAAAGCAAGGAAGGCAGCTAAAAGTATTGTTATTTTGAAGGCTAGAATGTATAAGACTTAATCAAGAGTTTAAGAATTTCTGTAATTTCATGCTCTAGCTGCAGTGTGTTCTTGGGTTTCTTAGGTGGGATTTCAAGCTTTAGTGGCACTTAAGGCACCCTCAAGGCAGAGGTGCCACGTCTGGGTGTGCCGGGAGCCATGTGGGCAGATGTCCCAAACCCTTCCGCGTTGTGTGGGCAGCTGCTCTGCCTGGAGAAGGGAGAGCTTCCAAGGAGCTGCGTGGAAGCTTCGTTGTCAACAAGAGCAGTCCTGGGCTCTGGGAAGAACTTCATAGCTGCAAGTGAAAATGCAAGTGCTGCAAAGAGTCTAGTTGTAAGGGAAATCAGGGGGAGTTCTGCAAGGAAAGCTTTGGGAATAGTTTGTCAAAGCCTTTTCAGAAGAACGCAATGTAAAATCCTAACTGGACTGAGAGCAGATCACATGGCAAATAAGCCAGTTACAACGTCTGTGCTTTGAGGTTGCTTTTGTGGTTTTGAACAAGAAACTGGCATTTGGCTGTCATGTTCTCAAATGAATAAATACAGAGAGCAGTAAAATAGCTGCAGAACTCAGCAGTGTTGGATACAGACTGATGCCTTACAGAAAAGAGGCATCCAAGCTGTATCGCAGCTAGATCATCTGCAGTTCTGAAATAAGCAAACCAGAGGAACCGCTGCATAAACTGTACAGTTTAACAGATGAAGTCACCCAGTTTTGACTAGTGAAGCAGGCTGCTTTCTCAAGAGTAGGGGAGATGGGTCAGATGAACAGAACAAACCAAAGAGGGTCTGGCCCATTCAAGGGGAACTAAGCCCAGCTTGTTGCCATTTGATAGAATCCTTACTTAGTGCATTGTGGTAGGGTTATTGACAATTTCTTTTGGATTTGTTGGTCCTATGCCTTTTGAATTCACTATATGGCTTTATTTATCTGTGTGCTTATATTCGTTTGATGCATCTGATTAATTTATTCATGTATGTGTTTCGAGTCATAAATGCAGCGCTTATTCATTAGATTCTGCTACAAGGTTTAAGAAGCTGTAACAATTCTTGTTATTTTTGTTGCAAACAAATAGCATATCCTGAATTAAGGATAAGATGCCTTATATTGAGAAGCTACACTAGATTCCGTCTCAAATGGTTTTTCTGAGAAATGTGTGTGGCAGCTCTGACGTTACCCAATTCTGCTTTGTTTCCAGATAAAAAAGATGAAGAAAACTACAGGTTATCTCCACTTGTCCTCAATAAAGAACATAAAGAAAAAGGTAGTTTTCTGGCTGCCTCCCCCGTGAAGATCTTGATGTTTCCAGAGACAGAGGAAGCCCAGAAACCACCTTTTGGAGCTGAGGATAAGAAGGGACAGATCACAGCCCAGCACCCTGTACAGAAAGCACTCATCTCACAGACCTTTTTGCCAGAAGCAGAGTCCCTTGGTAAGAGTGAGGCCTCCTGTGGGGAAAAGGAGGATTTCTTCTTGGACTTTACCCAGGATTCGGAGGGCAACCGGGTCATAGCTCACAGAAATGCAGCTCATGTATTTGCTGGAGAAACAGCTTCCACAAGCGAGGTAACTTCAAGAAAAACAGCAGACTCGTGGATAAACAAAGAGGGTCACCCAGAGCGGGAGGAAGGACTTGGTTTCCAGCCAGGGCATGGTGCAAGCCAGAGTAAGAAACCGCACGGATGGTCTAGTAATGCCAAAACGTCAGCTGATTTCTCTGAGACTGAGAACATAGACCCTGCTCTAAGGAGGGCCGGGAGCCGGGCTGCTGGCTGCTGCTCATCTCCAAGGAGAAGAGCTGGAGCGCAGCCGCTGGCAGAGCGCAGCCAGAACCCCGCGGGGGCAGCCCAGAGAGGGGGCAGCCCCTGGAAGCAGCTGTTCACCCAGGACTCGGAGGGGAACACGGTCATTTCGCACAAATGCCATGAAGTGACATCTCCTCTAAAGGACAAAAACAGTCCTAGGAGGAGGCTGCTTAACTCTCCATACAAGGATTGTTCCAGGGACACTACAAAACACATAAGCAAACTAGAGGAGCACCAGTTAGAGGTGTGCTACGATTTACTGTTCACACAGGATTCCCAAGGGAACAGGGTTATTAAACACTGATTAGTAACCATTAATGGGCAGCCTGTACCAACTTGCCTGCAGCCTAAGGAAAGCATCTTCTCTGAGAGAGGTTAGGAATAGGTAGCTATATCCATTGCTTATGTATGGACAGTTTATGTAGTAGAGCCATGCAACAGGCACAATCTCTTTGGTCTCTAATAAAATCAATTTTTAAAGGATTGTGTTTATAATACTTTGGTTGTTTCAGTCATTATTTTATATATATATATGTATACATTTAACACTTTAATATTTACGTGACCTGTTTTGCTCTTCAGCCTAAAACAACTTGCTGGCAACACTTCCACATTAGTCTCCTAGAAGTCCAAATTAAAAGATTTTTCAGGATCAGCTGGGGAATCGCACTGTCTGCTTCAGCTGTGAGCTTGCAGAAAGACTGTGTTCAGCTGCCAGCTGCAGAATCTTGCTTACCTCCAAGCTGCACTTGTAGCGTCCTCTGTAAGTGACAGCTGGTGTACAGAAGAAATGAGATTTAGGCTTTTTAGCTTGTTTCTATAATTGTTAAAAGCTCACCTGCAGCTGGCAAAGGTGCAATGAAAGCACTTAATTCCTACTGCCAAAAGGTTTAAAACTGGTAAGAGGATGAATTCTAAGAGTGCATCTATTTTGGGTGAGCCTGAACTGCTCCTAACAGCAGCCACCTGGTAACTCTTCCCTGGGGTAAGATGCACCTGGGGGCCGGGGGGTGTCAACAAGTCCCTCTGCTCCCTCATGGAACCAGCCAAGCACAGAGCCCTTGCAGCAGCCCAGGAAACTCTGCTCAGAGTTAGCTGAGCTGCATCTGGCAGCTGCCACCATTCAGGAAGGGCAGCAAATAGTTTGTGTGCTTCTGGTGCAGCCTGTTCGCATAATCCCTGCTCTTTGGACACAGGGTTTTGGATGGACACGCTTCAGATTTCATCTGCTGTGAAGCACAGAGAGCAGCTGCTCAAAACCCCAGGGGTCAAACACAATACAGACAAGACAGGCAGCATCTGTGACCACCAGCACCCTCTACAACAGCCACCTTTGTTAGAAACAACTGCTTGATTTTTTTTAAACCTTTTTATGCCAAATAAAACTATTTTTTTCCTCAGCCACTACTTTTAACTCTGTAAATATTTTTTTAAGAGAGTTTTACTTTCCCATTGGGCCAGAATTTCAGCTTTAATTGGATCTGTTGAACTATGTCACAGCTGAGAAGTTAATTGCTCTGCTGCCTGCATGAGGAACACATTCCCAGTAACAGGAAGTCTTGATTTCAATCCAATTTTTTCCATAAGGAGATATATTCCCACCAACTCCTTATACAGAAGAGACTTACTGTGACAACTGTGACAGAAAAAATCTGATAGTCCAGGCTTCTGGCATGTATCTGAGAGGGAAAAAGCTGTTCTTGGGATTGTATCTGCATTGCATATATATGTTCTCTATATGCATCTGCGTAAGTCTTAGAATGTTCTTTCTAGATTCACTTTACTATGTGGCCAAATGACCCTGTGGAAACATCTTCCCTCACTTTTACAGGGGGATGATGACTTAACTTTCCAGGCCCTGTGGGACTGGTGAATTAAGAAAGCCCTGGCACCTGCAGCACTCTGGAATCCCTCTCCACAATATAAGGCACTGACACACTGTAGATAGCAACATATTAATAATATTAAGGAAAACTACTGTCTTATGAAGGCTCAATTTTATATAAATGAAAAAAATCATACATTAGATACAGCTGTGAGGAACAGGGCAGAGTGAGCATAGCTGAAAAACATCTTCAACCAGCACGAAGGGCAGCCATAAACAACGTCGTTTCCCTCTGCTCCGATGACAAGTCTCGTGGTGCTCAGCTCTTAGCACTGGCCGTTCAATACAGAGACCTTTCAGAACACTAAATAAAATACATTTCATCTGAATACAGGGACTACTAATGAGACGTGAAATTACAAGCAAGAAAATAAGGCCATTCTGTCATGCAACTATAGGGTGGTTTGTGAATTAAGAAAGAGCAAGGGCGTATTGAAACCAGCCGGCACCCGCAAGGCACGGCTGAACTTGATCATTTACTTCAATTTCGTCTCATCATAGCTCAGATGAGGTTATTGGGAAGAAACCCTTCGCCTCCTTGATTCAACAACTTCCTAAACACCAAAGATCTGCAAACATGAAACACTTTATTCTCACTAGCTCCGTACCAGACTCACACTAGAGGAAGAACTGGATGTTTGACATCCGTTTTTACTGTAATGAGTAATAAGTTATATTGCAACAAGACAGTTATAAGTTAACTTGAATGCTTAATGTGAACCTAAAAACCTGTAGGTAGAAAGAACTTCATTCAGCAGCACTCATTGCGTTCCCTAGAAGATCCTTACCAAAAATCAAGACCTAAATACAAGTGGAAAAGAATTTCCATCTTAAAAAGATTTTTTCTTAAATATTACAATACATTGAAAACACTTCAAATCCATACAGTCTTTCCTAAATAAGTGTCCAGTGCATAAACAATTTCTAATTAATAAAAGAGGCATAAAAGTTCAATCCTTAGGAAGGCAGCTACTGTGGAGAAAATTTTGGGAGCATAACACTTGCTTACAGAGTTTAATGACAGTAACATCACTTCTCTTTCATAGTTAGATCTTCATCCTTTAGGGCAAATTTTCTTCTCAAAACTTCTGCTATGAGAATAGCAGGGTCTTCTTCCTTCATTGAGGTTCGGTTTCTAAGTGGAAGATAAAAAATACAGTGTATTGATCAGCATCAAAGTTGATGGCTTACAATTCTGGTCATTTTAACTTACAATTAAGTCTACAAGTCCAGTAATTCTGGAATTTACAGTTCTAGTAATTTTAACTTTAAATGTATTTAAGTATTTTCCTGCAATCTTGATCATCAGCTTTTGTTGCAAGTGGAGGAAGGAGGTGCAAGAACAACCATACAAAAGAAGAAAAAAAGCAGCTTAAAAGTCAGATCTTTCATGTTTGGTGTAGGAAACAGGCAGCTCACGTTGTAGATCTTGTATCACAGAAAATCTCAGGAAAGCTCTTTATTTATCATTTATCAAGAAAATTGTTATGCATTTCCTTTCTCTTACACAACTACATAGAGTTTTTTTTTTTTTTTTTAGTATACTATTTATCATCAAAGCATTCTGCCTCTTGTGACAAGTCCAGGCAAGCAGTTTGCTTAAGAAGTGCTGGTAAGCTTATTTTTCAGGAAGTCAAAATGTAGGTTTTAGGTTTTTCTCCCCTCAGGCTATCATGACTCAACAAGACTTTGTTTGGAATTTGTAGTAACAATTTCAGAGCTCAAGTTTTCTCTAGTTAAAATCCTCTCTGGGTCAGAAACCAGTGTGTGTTGTAAAGAGTCCTTAAAACCATCCCCCGGGGGGTTTCTGCAGCTGTCTGGGGGGCGCTTGCTCCGAGGCTGACCACGGTTTGAAAGCTGATTTTAGAGCTAGAAACATGCCGTGGATTTGCTCCCTCTGAGTGCGGAGATAAAGCCCAGGAGCCCCTCAAAACGATTTCGGCCACGCAAGCAAGCCTGGAAACTCAGAGTTACCTGAAGCATCAATCAACCAACGGCCTCCGCGAGCAACCCAAGCAGCCAGGAGCAGAGCAAGGCCAACAGCAGCAGAGAGGCAGCCGTGACGAAGCCCCACGTGTGCCGAGCACAAGGAAAACCTCTCACAAGATGAGATAATTCGGGTGAGGAAAGTGATCTGTCCTACCAAAGAGCACAAACTTCCAGCAAGGCACAAACAGCAACAACCGTGAGAAACTAGTGGCAGAGGCAGCACCTAAATGCCAAGAAGCACCAGAATTAACCTTCAGCATCTCAGTCCTTCATTGCTTCTCCGAGGGCCAGAGGAAATAATCACGGGCAGATTCATTTGTTTCATCCCAGAGAAGAAGTGCTTAAAAATAAAAGTGTACTCACATTCCAAGCAGCTCCTCATGCTACCTGTTCTTAAGCACCCACTGCATGCACGGCTCAGCAGGCACACTACTCAGTCCCCTTCCAGAGGGCATCACAGACACTTTAAAAGGTCTATTTGACATTTGTTGAAACATAAACACTCCTGCAAGTGTTTCTCATACTCATTCAGGAAGCTTCCAAGGTTGTGATTAAGCACCAAGTCCTAAACAGGAGCATCAGAGAAGCATCTATGTAATTATCTTGTTAAACACCACTTGGCACCCTCACCTACAGAACTTAGCACATGTAACCTGCAAGTTTTACCCCTGTAACAGCCCTGCACAGTGAGCACAGTGGGAAAAGCCCAAACCTTCCTTGCAGAGCTGCACTGGGATTGGATCTGGGAATCCTCTTTCCACACCAGAGACAAACATCTGCAGCGTGGAAACTCAACAGGGGCTTCTGCCAGGTGTTTCTTTTTGCAGCAGGGTAAAACCCGCCGTACCCTCAATTACTCGGCTGTCAAACACCACTTCATGGAACTGCGGAAGCAATTCCACATCTGTCCACGGAGATCTGTCCACACACCAAGTTCGTAAAGCCAGAGAGGTAAAATAGAGGTGCCTCTAGGGAGCCTACCTGTCTGAACCTGCTCCCATTTAAAACACTTGTTCAAATTGCTATTGCTTGAGAGCAATGTCCTTATAACCCCCTGTGCAAGAACAGGGCTGTGTGCGACCGCTGCTGACCTGGAAGAGGATGTTCCCTGTCGGCAGCTGTGGGAAGGAGACCACCACGTGGAGAGGATCAAGCATCAACAATTCTCTGAGCTCCATCAGGAAAGAGAAACCAGACTGGTCTGTGAGCCAACTCACTTCCCAATCCACCAAGCTGTCACAAAGGGGAAGAGGGAACCCGCCCTTTCAGGTTGTTCGCCCAACTCTGTACCCACAAAGGAAGGATATTCCCTCCTCCCAATCTCCAAGAAGGATCCTATGGTATGATAACCTTCCTCTCCCCCTTCACTTGCATTTTTATTTGATGCCATTAATAAATACTTTCTCTTGCTCCTATTATTTCCCATAGATTCCTTTCTAGAGTAACAGCAAGATTAAACACCTCTATCCATTGCTAGTTATTCTCATACATTCAGGCTAGGAAATTTGAGTCAATTTTTGCCCCTACTGCAGCTTTCCCTGTCACCTAAAGGCTGCTTCTCACAAAGGATCAACTTTGGCTGCTGAAGATGCCAAAGCACTCGTGTTCCATAACTGCCACGTGCAAAAAGGTAACACAGACAGCTGGTCATTGCAGCTTCAGGATAACAGCTGCTAACTGCATAACATGGCAGCCTAGCGGGGCTAAAATAAACCAATGGCAAGTTTACAAGTCATATTCTTGTTTCTGTCATTCCCATGGATTTGCTCCAACCTGCCTCAAAGACCTTGCAAACAGCCTGCCCCCAGGTCAGGCCTTGTTACAGGTGTTCTTAGTGCAAGCTGAACACACTTCTCTCATTTTTTTAATACTGAAAATAAGCATATAGTCAAAAGAAACTACATTTCAACCAGTTCAAACCTGAACAACCAGCACTCAATATGTTATTTTTGGCCACTACTGTCACTCACACAAGGTAGTCGCTGGATGTATCTTTGGTCTGAAACTTGTGATTTCACATGTAAATTTCTGTGATTTCACATGTAAAACAAAGAGAGTTAAGTAGAGCTGACATTTTAAACAAACTGCTTTATCAGATGGGCAGAATCCTGCCTCAGCCATGCAGAACTCAGCAGCTCAGGGCATTCTCCTGATAAACGTATACACTTATCATGAGACAAGTGCAAACCCACGGACAAAGCTTGGTCCCATGTGAACCAGATCCAGGCTGGAAGCTGGAAAGCTCCCGTGGACAACACAGGAGTCAAAACAGCCGTTCAGCTCCCCAGCAGGAGCCAAGCTTGGGTCTTGAACAGCTTCAAGCAGAGAACTGAAACATGGACCTCACTGCTCTCGTTTAATCTGGGCAGAGCCCAAGCTTTTTTTGAGGTGAATAGTTTGAAACAGTCAAACATTGTGTTTAAGCCTCCCCTTCACTGCTCTCTCTCCAGCTAGTTCAGTAACACAGGTCTGGTCCCAAATCTCTCATCCTCGATGTAATTAAAACAGTACAGAAATATAATTGTCAGCAAGTTCTACTATAAAATTGTTATTTCCCTTCTGTGAATCATGAACATACAGCACCACCACCAACAGATGGATGCAATGTCCAGTGTCTGCAACGATTTGACAGATGGAATAAAAAAAAAAAAAAGATGATGACATTTCAAATAAAAAATTAAATCAAGAGAATTCAGGAAAGGACTTACAAGTCTTTGTTCTGCTTCATCCTATGAATGTCTTTAAGAATGCCCATCATGTCCGCAAAGCTGCTGGCCTTCGAAAGGGACACGGAGTCTTCCTCGTCAGGATCCTTTGGTTCTGGTTTGCAACATTCAGAGGTTGCAGAACAAAGCAGGGAAACTGATGGGAGATCCGGGCTTTCCAGTTCTGCCTCCTCCTCTGTGATATCACTAATGACAAAGGAAGTTGTAGAGTGGAAAGAGGGTCCAAAACAACGAATGGGAGAAGATGCATTTGAGCTTCCTGGAGATAATAAATCTGGTGTGAAGGAAGCAGAAGCTGAAAAAGAAAACAATATAGGTGGATAAAACAGTGCCAAATCTGTTTTTTTTTCCCCTAAGCAATAGAATATGAATCAAAAGGTATCATGAGGCAGCATCCCCCACGTCAACAGAAAACAAATTAATCCAATGTGCTGTCCAACCCTCCACGAAAAAGAAAACAATATAGGTGGATAAAACAGTGCCAAATCTGTTTTTTTTTCCCCTAAGCAATAGAATATGAATCAAAAGGTATCATGAGGCAGCCTCCCCCACACCTCCCCCACGTCAGCAGAAAACAAATTAATAATCTGCTGTCCAATCCTCCATGGTTTCCACTTCCTAAAATACCATTTTAACATGCCTAAAACACCATACAAGACTCTCTCCAGGATCTTTTATCCCTCCAACCCACCATACTTCCACCTGCACACCCAGTGCCATATCATCCCTGCAGTTCAAACACTGCACCCAGAGACTGCATAGGCCAGGTTTGCTCTTTTCATTTTACAGATAAGGAAGGGACAGAGATTTAGCTGCTGCTCAAGGTCACAGGGGGAGCCTGTATTATGGTACAGGTCTTAATTGTCTCAATTTTTCTTCCCTTGCCCTTCAACACAGTGTATACTCCTCTCCTTTCTTTTTACTTCACTATCTTCACCCTCAAACCATTACAGATGGTGTGAACACAGAGCCAGATCAAGAGCTCCTGCAGTTTAAACCAGGCTTTCACAGCAATTCCCTCTGTGCCTGCAGGTGTTTTGATGTGTCTTGCTTTCCATCATCATTTAAAAAATGAGAATAGCAGCCACTTATTTCACAAAAAAGAGATGAGATTTATTTGCTCATGTTTTAAAGCACCTTGAGGCCAAGAAGAATTACATAAATTCCAATTGTTATTAAGTGAAAATGAGTTAGATATCTTTTTTTTTTCCTTAATATTTTAAATTGAAACTAAGTGCATATCTCCTTGAAAGAACTTCCCTTCATTGAAAATAAATGGTACCTTAAAGCACTAATGCCTTTTAGGCTCCAAAGAGAAATTGTAGATCGTTATCGATTTCCAATTAAGAGCTTTCTGTAGCAGTATATAATAAAGCAGACTGGGTTGTATTTCTTTTTTTTTTTTCTTTTGCCATCAACCTTTCCAAATAAACCTGCTAACTATTCACCCCTGTATCAAATTACTGAGCCACAGGTAGGCCCTAAATCACAGTTCCCAATTGCTGACTTAAAAGATGCTAAGTCAATAAGAACCATTCTCAAACGCTAACTGAACAAGACTGGGAACATTGCTAAGTAGAGAGGGAGAGAAAAGGGAATTAAATGATTAATGCATTTTTCTCCCACCCAGGTCTCTAATTTTCTGAGTTATTACTTTCTCTGAAATGAACAGGCTTTTCTGGCACACAGCTTGGACAACTGTAGAGCCAAGGCAGGAGTTAGAAGGAAAAATGAACAGATTTTGCCCATTCTTTATTACAGCTCAGTTGTTCCTCTGATCTTGAGGACACAAAGAGTTTGTCTGAAGGGGACATCTGTGATGTCTTCTTTCATGCTTATTCCCCACAGACCTGAGGGTAATGTGGTTCTGTGACCCTCCAAGGGGCTTCACTTTACCCTGCTCTTGTTAAAGCTGAAGTCTGTCGCACGTGGGATCTGTGCAGCTGATGGCTGCTCTATTTTGACAGGACCAAAAATGATAAGAAACAAAAGCTCAGGAAGATGGATATTCTCCGTGTGCATTAAATTACAATAAAATTATGAGAGGGAAACCGATGGTTCATCAGTACAAGAAATACCTAATCTCCTCTCACTTGAGCACAATTTCACAGACCAAAACTGTTATATTTGGCATATACATCTATACTATCAACACCAAATTGATTCTTTGAGCACACTGATTGTCACAGAAAAATACAAAACAAACAATCCTGCCCCAAACTATTTTTCAAGTAGAAAACAGCACTAAATCAAACACCATAACCTGTTTCATGTTCAAATGCTCCAATGGCTCCCAGGTTATTGGACCAAATACAAGCAGCCATTAGGGCTCCAGGTCAGCTGGGGCTACAGGCAGACAACACCCTGTCCTGCCTGTCACAGGCACGAGAGGTTTCTCCGTGTACACACAGTGCAAACAAGCAGTCTGGGCATTTAAAAAAACAATTGCTTTCAGATACAGGGTAAAGAAGATTTCATCAGCCTCATCTCCAACAGCAAGAATGAGCCAGCACAGTCACATTTCAAGCATGGCACAAGCCTGTTCTGATTTTTCAAAGCAATAATCTCAAATACCTTGAATATTTCAAGACATTTGGTATATTCTTGCCTTTCCTGGCCTGGGCTGGTCATGCATTTGAGGACTCATTCTCCAGACCAAAGTTATACTTAGCACCTCTTAAAACAAGCAGGGCTTATCCAGACAAACAAACGTGCCTCGATGAAGAACCTGCATTGAGTTGGTACCAAAGACAGCACCCCATCAGCAAGGAAAACATCCCAGCAATTCTGCTGAGAAAACAAGCTGCAAATCTGGCTGTGTAGAGAAGGAATATCACTGTTCACTAATTTAAGCCTTAATTTGCCAATTGCAACAACAACAAGAAAGTCACTATGGACCTACCTGACTCTGCGGCCACTATTTTAGCTATCTGACTCCGAAGGTGACTCAGCTCATCCTGGAGCTCAGTTGTTCGGCTCAGTGCTGGTAAACCAGGTTTCTTCAGGGCGAGCAGCTTCTCTTCCTGCCTCCTCAGGTTGGGGACTGAAGCATTTCGCTGGATGACCGTGAAGGGACTGGGCTTCCACTTGTGCTTCAGCGGGCGAGTGTCACTCCTAAGATGTGAGGGACAGAAATCTGCTGGTTACTTGCAAAATCTGGACTGCTCGGTGACAGCAGCGCTCTGCTCCCACCTTCACATCTCCATAGCACTGCACTCTACGTGCTACCATATGATGTGCTGCTGCACTCTATGTGTTACCTCTCTGCATTGCAAGAAACAGAAAGTCTGGTGCAGAAATCATGGACAAACTGCATAAGACATGGGAAGGTGAAGCAGGGACAAAAGCTGAGGCAAAAACCATTTCTGTCCTTACCACATGTCTCTCCTCCTGGGCAGTTTGCTGCAAACGCTTGGGCGAAAGCCATTTACCCCATTAAACTCTGCCTTTCATTTCAAAGTCCATTTTGCTCTTTCATAAGACACCTATCACCACTGCTTTGAGGACAATAATTACAAAATTTCAAGCGACCAGGAGCTGAACTCCTGGGGATGTGGGAATTTTGAGCCCAGAAAGACAACTTTATTCGTCAACTTTCCAAGGTGAAAATGCCAAGAATCACATGGGATTCTCTGCACAGACCTTTCAGCGAGAAAACTGTGGTAGGACACCATCTCCTTAGCGCTTCCTTTGGGAATTCTTCACAGGGATTTTTGTCTAAATTTTCCCCCATCTCTTGAGAAAAACTCTTTCAACAGGCAGCACATCACACCTTAAACACTTGAGTATTTGATTAATACCTAGCCTGTACCACATAAAATAAACCAGCATATAAGACGAAGGATCAGCAGGTAAAAAGAGAAAACCAACCTGACTCTGGCATACGTTTCTTCGTCATCTGCTGCTATCCACACAATGTCTGCCAAAGTGGGCACCGGGGGGACATCACTTAAATACAGCTCGGAAACATTTGGCAGGACCTAAGACAGAAGCGGCACGAGGGAAAGGGTGATTCCATTTCCTGCAATGGCACCAAACCTGCCAACAGCTGAACCTCAGGCACGTGGCAGCGACGCTGTGCGGCTCGCGGAGGCCAAGGAGCCGCGACCCGACCCGCGTGACAGGCCCTGCCTCTGCCCTTGACCCCAGGGGACACGGGGACAAACCCTGGCCTGTTCGGAAAGAAGAGCCCAGGGGCCGAGAGGCTTCACAGAGGTCCCACCACGAGAACACTGTTCAGAGACACTGAGTTTCTGTCTCTTCTACTTATCGTAGAACCACTGTGGTCAGAAAAGGCCCCCAGACCATCGAGCGCAGCCGTCTGAGCGCACCAGCCCCGCGTGTAGGGTCTATTCGGGGAGGCGTTTACCCCCGCTTGCCAGCGCTCGTTCAAAGCCCACAGAGGCAGCAAGGGGCACGGAGGAAGCCCGGCCGCGGGG